ATTATAGTTCAAGAAACGTAATATAGGGACTAGAGAGATGACTGGCTTGGTGATTAAGAGTGTTAAGTGTTCTTGCAAAGGATGAGTTTAGATCCCAGAACCCACATCAGGCAGGCTTAGCTCTATAGATCCAATGGCACCCTCTGACCTCTTCAGGTACCTAGACCCTATCATTTGGTCTTTGTCTGACATAATTTTTATTTTTAGAATAGCTTAAGGGTGTGCCTGCCATTCTCAGATAGGACCAACATGGTCCTTTATTAGCTGGCTTTCAATTATTAGTTTTCTCCATATATTAATTAATTCTTATTTCTCTGACAAAACACCTGGGAAAAGCAAGCAGGAGTCTTGCTCGAAGTTTGTAGTGGGAAAGTTATGGCAAGAGGAATCTGAGGCAGCTGCTCGTATAGTACTGGCGTACAGATTGCAGAAAGGAAAATGCTTGCTCTTTCTTTCTTTAATCATCCAGGGACTGGAGCCCATAAAACAGCTTACCCACATCCAGGGTTGGTCTTCCCTCCCAAGGAAACCTCTGTGGAAACACTTCATAAATACTTACAGACATGTGTTTCCATGAGTATTTTAAGCCCAGTCACACTGACAATGACTAATAACCACCACATTTGGTTAAGTCCAATGAGTCACTAGTATTATAGTTATTATTATTATTATTGATTTTAATACAGGACCTCACTATGTATCCCAGGCTAGTTTAGGATTCCCAAGAACTATAGCTACACATAAGTCACTTATTTATTAACTAGTATTTATCATTTTAAGTCTCTAAATATTGAAATAGCTGTTGTTATCATTTTTAGTAATTAATATACCATAAAGCTACAATCTAACAAATTACAAATTAAAACTATATCTAACTAGCTATAACATTTCTTTTATAAAATTATATGAACAGTATATGCATATGTATATTATAGTATATGTGTGTATGTATAGTATATACATATACACATACACACACACATATATATATATATGTATATATATATACATATATATATATTACAGCATATGTATAATTCCTGATTTGTGCCACCCACAGATTATATGTATCAGAAAATTATTACTTTTTCTTCTGTTTGTACAGACTCAAGCATAGTTCTTGATGTATATAAATATTCTGTTAATTGAAGAAAATCAATTAAACTATTTGATGGGTTGAGTTACCTCATTACCCAGTCTCTGCACATGCAGAGACCGTTGGCAAGAGTATTTATAGAAAGAGGAGCTCAAACTGCCTAATTTTATTGCATATTTAAATTTCCTATCTAAATATATTATTATTCTTGATAGAAAATAAGTGCCTAGTCACATTGCACACATACTGACATTGTGCAGAATGTATACCATGAAGAAAAAGGAAGAATCTTATTTCAAATGAAAAGTTATTCATACTCCATTTCCTTAGATTCTCTCCAAATTGGACCCTGTTTTATTAAAAAGGCCAAAGAATCTACCAAAATAGATATGTGGTAGTGATTTTAAATTTTCTTATTGTGAACAAATTCGTGGTCAAGAAGCAGTCTGTAGTAGTGATGTGTTCTTATGTTGACAGAAGGACAGGAAAATTAATGCATTTGTAGGTTGAATTTAATTTACATTATTTTTGCCAGAATGCTTAATTTTTGGACTTTGCATGTGTTCATACTTTAAAAATGGAGTCTTGTTGGAAAGGTAGTGTTTAAAATTGATTCTGGGATCTTGATAGCATTACGATGAAAGCAGGCTAATGTTCCTGTGATTCCATGGGTATACTAATTAAAGATTGTGATATGATTTGTTGTGTTCCATTAGCCCTCTGCCACACTATGGTGTTGGTGACACAGTTTTAAGAAACAGTTAACCCCATTCTCGAGACTGGGAAGTCCCCTGAAGCCATTGAAGAACAAATGACTTAGCAGCAAAGGGTTATGATTTTTAGCAGGTACAATTTTGATTTTATTACAAGGCACACAATCATATATACAATGCAAATTATTATCACTATAAGATATAAACAAAATCCATATGGTAATGAACACACTTTACTTAGAGAGGAAAATTGTCATGGCCCGAGCCAATTTGTAACCTATGAGACTTTCATAATTATACCAAGCTCTTGCTTGGAAAATAAATCTTGTGGAATGGACACACAACCTTGTCATAGATTTTCCTTGAAATACTTTCATTTAAAACCTGCCAATGTATTCCTCGTTTTGTTCATCTTATTATCAAATGGAATACATATAAATTGCTGGAAACAAGTTTAACAACCTGCATCAGTCACAAAATTAAACCCTTTTCCTCAAAATTCTTGATTTCTCTCTAAAGAATTTTATCTTTTCAAAAGTTGTCTCTAAAGTGGGAAGATAAAGTCCAGGTAGAGTTATTCTTAAGGTCGCAGACATAGCAAGCAACAGCTTTTGTGTGATGGGAGAGCCTTTGGGGAACCTCTGAGATGGAGAGCCACTTGAGGAGCATGGGTTAGACAAAGCACTGTTTGAAACAATCCAACATGGCAGCATGACCACCGCTTCCTAGCATCATGCACATGTGCACACACATGTATACACTTGCTCTCTTTCACATATATATATGATCATGTGTACATGCCCATGTCTATACTTCAACAATAAAATACACGTACGTAATTGATACTTTCCCTCCTGTGTGTGAGTCTCTTTGTCATTCTTTGAACTAGTGCCCCAAAGTGGCTATCATCTGTTTTTCAACTGGGCCAAGGGGAAGCTCAGAATACATTCAAGGGCAGCAAAGCCCTTGGGATCCACAGGATCAAGAAATGCAAGAATAGGGCTATTAGGAGAGCATGTGAAGTGTTAATTTAAAGAGGTCACTATTATAACTCCATCCCATGGTGATGTGGTAACTACTTTGTATGTGGTACTGGGGAAGAATCTGTCAACATCTCTCACATCTTATAGTGCGATAGAAGCATGTCTACCACCTACTCCAGTAGCATCTGTTCTTTGACCGGCTTTGTCCACATACATGTCCCTTTAGTATAATAGCCAAGGTTTTTATCTACCGGATTAATGTCACCCAATATTTAAGTCATTCTTATCTATTTATTCAGTTATAAGAATGCAAGGATGGTGACTCACTCTTTAAGAAAGCCTGGTCTGGCAAGATCAGACAGTGAGTAAAGGCACATAACATCTGACAATGTAAGAGTTCCATCCCCAGAATCGTGTAAAAGAAAAAGGAGAGAACTAATTTTGAAAAGTTATCCTCCGACCTCTACATGCACGCCATAATGCACGCACACACACGATAATAAGTAAGTAATTAAATAAATAAATAGTGTCCAAAGAAGTGTGTTACACTCTAGGGCATGCCCCTGCACCCCTCCCCCCTTTCATGTCTGTCTCCCTCTGTTAGCCTCCATGCTTAAATCTAAATTAATACATTTGCTTAATAAATTCTAGCTTTGTGTTACTACATAAGAATTCCAGAGCATCTAGGCATTTAGCAAAATCTAAGAAGTCCTGAAAAGAGCACTTTATTGCCATTTAGAAAATGTCGCTGCAATGTCACTGGTAGCATAAAAGTCCCAAATGGAGATGAGCATAATGACGGTGACTCTGCAGAGTGTGTCATGCCTTCATGCAGAACTCAGTCTCCAGAAAGAGAGGGGCCAGCATGATGGGACAGCAGGTGGTGAGAACCCACAAGTGCATCTCTGCCTCCAGTATCCAGGGCCACACATTAGATGCTCCATTAGATGCCAAGGGGTGCTGCCCTAACCACGTACAAGCTTAGAAATAGGTGTTATTTCTAAATTATCCTTTCCTTCTTCTTTCAAGTCAAATTACAAAAAAAAAAAAAAGAAAAGAAAAGAAAAATAAGGATCGTTATCTCTGAACCATAAGTTTTAAAGAAGGGGAATTTTTGGATTTAGCAAACCTATCCTAAATGGGCTTCTCAGGCAGTAACTTCCACGGGTACACCATTACCCAAGGTCATGCAAGCTATGCTCAGGCACGTCAAGCCTCATCTCATTCTTTAGCATGTATTTGGAAACAATTCTACTTCCTGTGGAAAGCCAGACCATAATACCTGAAGATACACATGATCAAAATAACTTGCTCTGCCTGAGTAGAGATCTGGCAATAGGTGTGTGTTTACAAACAGACGCTACCACAAAATAGATTCAACCAAAACTACCATCTTAAAGTGAACTCAGAATCTGGGCATTTGTTAATACCAAGTTATGAACAGTGTTAGGGTAAATGATGGTTGAAGAATCCAAAGGAAATCACACCATTACTGAGTCCCAGAAAAGCTTATATTGCAGCAAAATATCCAAGCATCAATTCTCCATATCTCGAGAGGTCTCACTGCTGTAGCCTTGAGAAATGTCCTGGCAGGGCACGAACCCTGTTCCATATTTACACACAGACTACTTACAGATGAAATTACACACACTTTGTTGGCATATATGCCTCATACTTCTTAACATTATTATGCCTTTGCTCAGAAGATTATCTACCTGAATGGCATGTTAAAAACCTGGCTATCTTGGGTAACAAACTATAGTTTTCAAGGCATTAAACACTCTGAGAAGAGAGCATTCACAACACAAATTTCAAGATGATACTATGTACCACTATGCACGTGTAGCGCGCCATGAGTCTGAGTCCAAGTTCTTCCTAAGATGCATTTTTTTCACAGAGACCTATCCACCCAGCAGGGTATGAGCTGGGCTGAGTATCGCCATGGTCTCACTCTAACTGAGGTTGCTTCTGTCAGTGGTAGCAGGTAAGTGTGGCGTCTACCAAGCTTTGCTTTTCTTTTTCCTTTATTTTCTTCCCCAGTTTTGGAACTGTTGCGTAGGAAGGCCACACAGATGGAGGTGAACTGAACCAAATGAACCCGAAGGAAGAGTCTTATCTTTGCTTATGAATGGGTTGACATTAGACTGGCTTCCCTGTTGTTTCCAGGACCTCCCGTGCTCTGTTCTTCATACTTACTGCCTCTACTCAGCTACATCACTAATGTGCCCTGCAGTTGAAGACTTCACAGCGTGACATGTCTGTGTTATCAAACGCCTCATGTTTCCATTTCAGACTGCAGTGGTAATCTGGGTTAAACCAAGATCATTGAACTCTTCTCTACCTGGAGAGCTGTAGGAAGACATCTCCACGACTAGTCATACTGGCTTATTCATCCCATCCACATCCCTCATGGAAGCAGGATCCTGAACCGTGTTTCTAACTCTGCTGGTGCTCTGTCGCTCCATTCGCATCTTAATGGGGAAGCAGAAGTCCCTAAAGCAGCGCTTGAAGTTTTCATCAAGGAAGGCATAAAGGACAGGATTCAGGCTGCTGTTGGTATAACCCAAGGCAATACAGAAGTAATAGCTGGAGAGGGCAGCTGTGCTGTGGGAGGTGCTGCCCAGTGCCTCCACCAGGATGAAGATGTGAATGGGGGTCCAACAGATGATGAAGACTGCCACCACTACCAGCACCAGCTTGGTGATTCTGCGGAGATTGCGGTCCTTCTCTCTGGAGCCAGAGAGGAGCCGGACACTCTTCAGGCGCAGGATCATCAGGGTGTAGCAGACAATGATGATGAGAACCGGGATCACAAAGGCAAAGATGAAAACACATATCTTCATGAACAGGTCCCACCAGGAGTAGTCATCATCCGGAAACTGCAAGGAGCACTCAATGACATCCACATCTGCCGGAAGTGATCAAAGCCAACACAATCACCGAGAGAATCCTGTTATTGTTAGCACTATGACTGCAGAGTTCTATGTTAATCCCAATACTTTTGATTTCAGATATGGTGAGATAGTACTAGGAGCGGAACAGCAAGTCAGAAACTGATGGTTCCTTACACTGAGAATTCTATCAAAAAAAAAAAAAAAATGTATCTGCTGAGCTATTTGTCACCAAGCACAGAGTTCTGTATAGAATAAAGAAGCAAAGCTGGTTAGCAGTCTGATTTGTTGAGCTGTGAATGTTGGCTTGGTGTTAGTGGCTTTCAGATTAGCCAAATATTTCACTTTTAGTGTGGCATGTGTGGCATTTATTGTTCAATTTTCCCACACCCACGGCTCTGACAAAAGAGTTAACAACAAGTTACTATTTCTAGTAAATGACTAAACATTCTGAATCTATTGCATTTAACAAATACAGACTTGTCTTAACTATTTATGTGGGTATGTAAAACTTGATAATGAAATACATCTAAATATGACTCAAGTGCTGTGATTTAATAATCCCACTCTGCACACTGTGATTAGCAACATCACTGAAATGTGAACAAAAATTTTTTAAGGTAAATGAAGACAAACCAAGAGAAAGCGATAATAATCTACATCTACCTTTGCTTTACTGTTTATGTAAAATGACTTAAAGTATCCTGTAAAAGTCATCACCATTGTCTTAGAAAACAAAATTTTACAAAATGTTGGTACCCAGAGTTTAATTTAAATGTTCTACAGTTGTCTGTTTAATCTGGTAAACATTTTCATTTTTAAATTTTTGAATTTATTGATTTTGTTTTATGGGTATGAGTGTTTTGTCTGCATGCATATATGCATGCAATGTGTATGCCTGTGCCCTTGGTGGTGAAGAGTTGAATCCCCTGGAACTGGAGTTACAGATGTTTGTGAGCCACCATGCGGATGCTGTGGAACTGAACGTGGATTCTCTGCAAAAGTGTTCTTAACCCCATTGTATAATTTTAGCTGTTTTGTTGAAAATCAGGTGTTCATAGGTATGTGGGTTAATATCAGGATTTTCAATTTGATTCCATTGGTCTACCTGTCTATTTTTATGCCAATACCAGGCTGTTTTCAGAACTATAGCTCTGTAGTAGAGCTTAAAGTCAGGAATGGTCATGCCTCCTGAAGTTCTTTTATTGTATAGGGTTGTTTTGGCTATCCTAGGTCTTTTGTTTTTCCATATAAAGTTGATTATTATCCTTTCAAGGTCAGTGAAGAATTGTGGTGGGATTTTAATGGGGATTGCATTGAATCTGTAGATTGCTTTTGGTAAGATTGCCATTTTTACTATGTTTATCCTTTCTATCCAAGAGCATGGGAGATCTTTCCATTTTCTGGTATCTTCTTTAATTTCTTTCTTTAGAGCCACAAAGTTCTTATTATATAGGTCTTTTACTTGTTTGGTAAGCGTTACACCAAGATACTTTATGTTCCTTGTGGCTATTGTAAAGGGTGATGTATCTCTGATTTCTTTCTCTGTCTCTTTGTCGTCTGAAAAAAATAGGGCTACTGATTTTTTTGAGTTTATCTTGTATCCTGCTAGTTTGCTGAAGGTGTTTATCAGCTGTAGGAGTTCCCTGGTAGAGTTTATTGGGTCGCTTATGTAAACTATCATATCATCTACAAATAGAGACAGTTTGACTTCTTCCTTTCCAATTTGGATGGGACTGACTCAGGCCCCCCTGAATATGGGTCTCAGCCAGAAGGACTGAGCAGTCTAAGGGGCCTCAGACAGTGGAGCCAGGATGTATCCCTGGTGCACAAAAGGACTTTGTGAACACATCCCTCATGGAGGGATAACTGCCTTAACCTAGAGACAGGAGAGAAGCCCTAGTCCCTACTTCACATGACCTGTCAGATCTACATGACCCCAACTGGATGGCATTCCCCTACATATGGAATTGGGGTGGGGGGATGGGAGGGGAGGGTGGTTAGAGTGCATGTGAGAGGGCAAGAGAGGGTAAAAGGGAGGGAAGGAGGGAGGGAGGAAAGGAGAGCCAGAGGGAGGGAGGAAGAGGGAACTGGGATCGACATGTAAAATAATAAATTAAATTAAAAAAATGCTTTGACTCCAAAATTTAAGTTGAAGGACAAGTTACTGGGGAAAAGGATTTCTATTTTTGTTTCCACAGAAAATGAAAAGATGTGGATTCCTTCCAGACTAATGTGGTTTGATCACGCCAGACCGCCTGAAACAGAGTACAAGCTGATCCTACATTCAAAACAGCTGGACAAAACAGCCCTAAAGACTACAGCCAGGATATCTGAATCTTCTTCGAATCCCCCATGATAGTGCCCCTTACCAGCAGGAAGTAGTTTGGAAAGAACGACGCCCAAATTTCCAAATATTGTGTATAAATGTTTGTTTTCATTTAATTGGACTTTGTTATATAAAATAAATTTTAAAAAAAAGTGTACTTAACTGCTCTCCAGCCCCAAAACAAAACAAAACAAACAAAACAACTCCTTTTTTTTCTTAATATTGTTTTCCTTATTTGACATATTGATCCCAGTTCCCTCTCTCTCCCACCCTCCCATGCCCTCCACTGACTCCCCCATCCCATTCCCCATCCTTCCCCAGGGAGGGTGAGACCTCCCATGAGGGGGTCATCAAAATCTGCCAAGTGGGGTCCAGGCCCTCCCTCTTATCTCTAGATTAAGGGAGTATCCCCTCCATGGGGAATGGGCTCCCAAAGTCCATTTGTGCACCAGGGATACATCCTGGTTCCACTGTTAGAAGTCCCAGAAACTGCCTAGGCCTCATAACTGACACCCACATTCAGGGAGCCTGACTCAGTCCTATGCTGGTTTCCCACCTTCTGTGGTCCATGAGCTCCCCCTTGTTCAGGTCAGCTGCCTTTGTGGGTTTCTGCAACCTGATCTTGACCCCTTTGCTCATCACTCCTCCCTCTCTGCAACTGGATTCCAGAAGTTTGGCTCAGTGTTGAGCTATGGGTGTCTGCTTCTGTTCCCATCAGTTACTAGATGAGGGCTCTAGGATGTCATATAAGTTAGTTATCAATCTCATTATTAGGGAAGCACATCTAAGGATGAAGACTCTAGGATGGCATATAAGGTAGTCATTAATCTCATTATCGGGGAAGAGCATTTAAGGTAGCCTCTCCCCTATTGCTTATTTTGTTTGTTGGGGTCATCCTTGTAGATCTCTGGACATTTCCCTCGTGCCAGATTTCTCTTCCAACCTATAATGGCTCCCTCTAGTATGGTATCTCTTTTCTTGTTCACCTCTATTCTTCCCCCAACTCAATCTTCCTGCTCCCTCATGTTCTTATCTCGACTCCTCTTCTCCCCTTCTCTTTCTCCCAACTCCCTCTCCACTCACCCCCTTACTTCCAGTGTGCTCAGGAGATCCTGTCCCTTTCCCCTTCTGTGGGGGACCATGTATGACGCTCTTAGGGTTCTCCTTGTTTCCTAGCTTGTCTGGCGGTGTGGATTGTAGTCTGGAATCCATATAGGAGTGAGTGCACACCATAATAACTTACTTTTTCTTAAAAGATGATCTTGGGTTTTATTTATTTTAATTTTTAAAATAATGATTACTTTGTTCATCTCATCCTGGTAGCAGCTTCCTCTTCTTCCTCTCCACCCAGCCCTCTACCACCTCACCTCTGTGCTCTTTCCATCCTCTCCTCCTCTGTTTCTATTCAGAAAAGGGCAGGCCTCCCATGGATAGCAACCAAACATGGTGTATCAAGTTGCAGTAAGACTAGGCACCTCTCTGGTAGTAAGGCTGGGCATGGCAACCCAGTATGAGGAATGGGGTCCCAAAAGTCAGCAAAAGAGGCAGAGACAGCTTCTGATGCCACTGGTAAGAGTCCCACAAGAAGACCTAGCTACATAACTGTAACATATATGCAGAGGGCCTAGGCAGCCCGTGAAGGCTCTAGCCACATAACCTTCAACCAATAATTTGTCCTGCGTACAAGATGTGCTGGGGTAAAAAAAAAAAAAAAAAAAAAAAAAAAAAAGATGCACAGAAATTGTGGGAGTGGCCAAGTAGTGAGTGGTCCAGACTGAGACCCATGCCACTAGAGGAATCCCATACCTAACACTGTCTGGAGAGCCAGGATCCAGAGTCTGGATAGCACAAAAACCTAGGGTAGAACCATACCCAACTGGTAAAAAAATAAAAAAAAAAAAGTCAATGTAATGACGCCTAACAATAGTCTGCTACAGATACAGATTGGCACCTAGCCCAATTTTCATCAGGGAAGCTTCATCTAGCAGCTGATGGGAACAGTTGCAGACTCACAGTCATACATTGGGCGGAGCTTGTGGAAATCCCACATATAGTAGTTAGTTACAGCTTGGTAAATAATGTATCAATATGTATGATAGATGATGAAAATGACCAATGGCAGCTACTTTTAAAATCTGTACAAAGTAAACAGCAATTGTGGAGTGGATGTGGCCCCCAAATATGCCTGAGACACTGAACATGTGCCATCAAAAGCGAGGGGCACACAATGGTACTAACCCACGATATGTTCCCAACATCTGTTCCTGGAAAAGCATGTCTGGAAAGACATGTTCAGATTTAATTATTTTACAATTGCTTCAGTTTGAAAAGAAGTGTTTCTTTAAGCACCACAGGATTTTTCTCACATACAGAATTGGAGGAAATTGATCATTTTGAAGTTCATGCTAGAATTGTGGCCTTAGGCTTTTTTTTTTCCTTGCAGGTTAGTGCAGTAGGACCACAGCTCCCATTGGCACTTACATAATTAGAATTATATCCAACAGCCAAACTAAAGGGGCTTCTTTAGTTTTTTCCTATTTTTTGAAAATAAACTATATCATTTCCCCTTCCTTTTCCTCTCTCCAACCCTTCCCACGTATACTTCTTGCTCTCTCTCAAATTCATGGCCTCTATTTCTTTAACTGTTGTTGTATGTATGTTACTAAATCTATAAATATAACCTGTTTGTTGTGTATAATGTATGTTTTCAGGGATGATCAATTGGTATGCATAAAAAATTGAAGACTATTCCCTTGAGAAGTCTATTTCTCCTGTTCCTAGCATTCCTAAGCTGCCTACAGTTCTTTTTCTAGGGTTGCCTGCAACAGTACTAATAATGCAGATTATGGTTACTACCATAAATAATTCACACATGTGCAAACCATAAAATTCAATATGAAATAGTCATAAAGTTAAAACATTGCTGTACACAAGAGCCAACACTACTGCATGTGTATCAATGGATGATGGTAGACATATCAACAAGCCACAACCTCTGAGGACCATTCGATTGATTGTTCATGCTAGCATGCTGGAGAAGAGCACCAGCCAGCCATGACTAGGTAGACAGATGACCTAAAACACTCCTCCTAGTCAGGAAACAGTCTTAATAGGCACCATGCTGCAGAACTTCAAAACAAATGCATTCCACAAAAATCATCTTTCATAATATAATCAAAATTCTTATTTGGAAAAAAAAGTACAAGAAAAGAACAGTTATCCTATAAACCACTTTAATACATTCTCCTTTGCTGCACAAATTAATCTTCACTTACATTGGTACATCTTTTCTTCCACTACATGTATGCATTCATCTCCAGCAAAATCTACCAGGAAAAAAAACACATTTCTCCTCATTTCTTCTTTCAAAAGCCTAACTGAGACTCATTTCTTCTAGGGTATCACTCTCTGACAGATGTTAGAAGTAATATAGTTGTTAAGTCTGCAAGTGGGACATGAAATACAAACCCAGGTTTTTATTTGCCCTGGGAAAGTCATTTATCACCTTTTGTCACTCAGCCCCTCTCATCTTAGAGTGTGCAGACCATCGGTCCTGATGGGACTTGTGATGTACAGGCTCCTGAGCCTCTGAAGGGTTTCTTGCCATTTACTTCCCCTTAATGTAGCCTTGAAAAAACAAATTCCTGTGTGTGATAAATAATCTTTGCAACTGTTCATTTAATGACAAGTGTCATAGTCTATCACCTGCTGTTCAGAAGGAAGTACCACGAGACCACAACACCAAGAACTACCCCTTATGTAAGCTATAAACATTGGGTGATGATGTGCTAATCTAGGCTGGGCTGTTATAAATGTGCCACTCTAGTGAAGGTGTTGATAATGGAGGCTATGCATGTGTGGTGGTTAGACACAAATTGAAACTCTATGTTGCATTTCAATTTTACTGTGGTCCCAAAAGTTCTCTAAAAGAAACTTTGTAGAATGAACAAGAATAACCTATGCATGTACCATGTAAGATAAGCAATGATTTTGGGACCTGTGCTTTTCCTATGTCCTCAAAAGTCTTTGCTATGCATATTCAATTATCTGTATTCACAGGTACTACAAAGCTCTCTAATAAAAGGATACATCTGGACACCTGCAAGAACATTAAATATCATTTATATAGTTCAAAGGCTCTTTACCCGCTTCCCTCTATGGAATCTCTATTAAGATCAAACATACTTCCCGTAGCTTCATTTTTTTTTTGCTAGAAAAACTCCTGAGACATTTGTTCTCACCCTGGCTGCAGGTCAGACTAACCTAGGTCACACTTCAGCTTGATTAAGACAGGCTCTCCAAGGCTGTGACCCAGGCATTGGTGTATTCTAAAGTACACCGGCAATTTCATCCCTCATCTCAATTTGATAAACATGGAGAAGGTGTAGTTGCCCTGTTTATATAAAGCAATCATTGAAACCATCTGCAAACCTGATGATGAACTGACCAAAGCCAATGAATAAAAGATATATGAGAAATGACCTTAAAGCAGAAAGGAGATCCCACACGTATCTCTAATAATTTAATCCCTTATTCGGGAGAAAAGGAAGGAAAGCCATGGCATTGCTAGGTTGCATTTTCAAAACAGTCTTGCCTTTAGTTCCTTACTTAAGTACTATGTAATCCAGTGACAGTTAGAAGGCCTCGTGTGCACACTTTTCTTATGACTCACAGGAATACTGTCAGGATTATTCACACTCACTTTCTGGTTGGTGCCACATCATTAGTTAAAACATAACGCACGTCTAAGCTACTAGTTTCCAAAGTGTGTTTTGTAAAATGGTACTCTCAGCTTTGGTGCCTTAAAAGCTTCTCTGGAAAATAAGGGAAGAAGAGAAATAAAAAGGAAGCCAGTGTGTATAGTCTTCTCTCCCTGGATTTACATTCCCTCTAAATTCACCAAGCACTTTAAGGATATGAGACTTCTGAGATGCTCTAGAACTGGTATCAACCCACTCCATGTTTAGAGGGGGAAAGAACACAGAATTGTTTTGTTTCTAATCCTCCATGGATTTAGGAATTATAGTTTACATCACTTTTTGTTTGCTTGTTTCCCAATAAATATGTGTTCCACTCTTTTCCCAAGGTAAAAACAAAGCAATGAACAAAAGTCCATCTAATTAAAATTTCTATTTTTACAAATGGGAGGAAAACAATGGATCTTACCTTCTCTGACTTTGGTGCCTCCAAGGACTATTGCTGATATGCCAACCGATGATGACAAGAGCCAAATGCAGATGTTGATGATCTTTGCTTTCAAAGGTGTGCGGAAATCCAGAGCCTTCACGGGGTGACACACAGCAATATAGCGGTCCACACTCATCATGGTCAAGGTGAATATGCTGGTAAACATGTTGTAGTAATCTATGGAAATGACAATTTTGCACAGAACATCTCCAAAAGGCCAAGAATTCATCAAGTAGACAGCACTCTGGAAGGGCATGGTGGTAGTAACCAAGGCATCTGCCAAGGCCAGGTTAAATATGTAGATGTTTGTTGCTGTCTTCATCTTCGTATATCTGAATGATAAAGAACAATAACATTTCCTTGCAAGTTAAACCCAGAGACTGAATGTGAGTGATAGTCACTGACTTATTATTTTTGCCACATATTTACTTATTCCTTTTGCATTCATTGCCAAGTGCAGATTTTAAAAGGGACTCAGACTTCAATAAGGTTTTCTCTTAGTGCTTTGCTCACAGCATTTAAATAAAAAAGAGAATGAAGGAAGTATAGACCAATAAGTAGATGACTACACAGACTGGAATTCATGAAGTTCTTCATGTCATAGGGGATGATTCATTTTAATCCTTAACAGAGATCTTACCTTAAGTATTTTTGTAATATTTCCCTTTTCTTTTTATAAAACAAATACAAAACTTTTTCCTTTCATGATTACTTTGAGAAATCAATCACTGTAATTATTCCACCATTTTAAAGTACAAAATGCTGTTCTGTTTTAAATTATATCCAGCTGTAATGGCAAGAGCACAATTGGACTTATTGATTTCTGCTTGCCAACATGCTACCAACTTATCATTTCAAGTGTATCATATAAATAAAAAATGAGTTATTTTTGATACAGCAACATCACAGTAAATAAAATAAATTCTTCCTTTCTCTGTACCAGTCTTGGGCAGTTTATTAAAGTATACAATTGTCTCACTTTTCAGTCAAAGAAACAGTAGTGTTCAAGTTGGGTCAGCAAGATTGGCTGGAAGCTTAAATCATTCTCTACACTCCAAGACGAAGTACAGAACAACACCATTTTCACTCAAATCTGAATCAACAATTAAAGAATTGTTATTTGAAGGAATGCTTCCTTGAGAATCTATTGAGCAGTAAATATCTTTAGTGTTTCACCTCTCTGCAGCCAAGAGGAAAAAGCTATGTGTTAATTCCTTTCTGTGAACCTAAGAATTATAAACCTTATAACAATAAATGCATCCCTACACCCCCAGAGACATACATTTCCTCATGAAAAGCATCTGTCAGTGATATTGGGGTGATGGAATGGTGTTGCCCAGTATGAAGTCATAGTCCTGAGTCTAAACTTCCTAGTCAGTTTCTGATACATAAGGCTAGTAAGCTAGGAGCCAGAGAGAGAGGTCACTATAGAGCCTAGCTCAACACACCTGGCAGGTAGGATGCATTCCATCCTCAGCACCCATCACCTTTGATATCCCCCTTCGCTTCTTGTGAGAACCAAGACATGCTATCGGGTGGGAGGAAGACATTGTAAGCTAGCAAGTTCTGGTTTCCTCCATGGTCTGTTTCTAAAAGAGTGGCTTTTAATATGGGGAGTAGAGAAACACATTCCACCTTCAGACATTTTACACAAGTATTATTAAATGCTTTAGAAAGTGATTAAGACTTTATAACCACATACTTGTAATGTCTTTCTAAAAGCACAGATAACTGAGCACAGTTATGCAAGTAATATTTTTAATGAGAAATATAGGATGCAATACATTTGAATACTGCTTGTTTTAAAATATTTGAAAACACATAGGTTATAGACATACTTCCTACTCCTTCAACATTCTCTAACAAAATCTCTGATATTAAGATATGCTCAGCTGGGGCAGCCTTAGTATCTACTCTTGTGTTTGGAGGTTTCTGAATCTTCATGAACTTATGCAGGCATTCTTTACTTTATAAAAATTAGACATACCTGGGTCCTGGTCCCATTTTTTTCCCTTCCAACTAACAGACATACTTCACTAGGATGTACTAGTCATTTTTACATCATGACGACAAATACCTAAGCTAGTCAACTTCTCTATAGAAAAGGGTATTTCTGTTCCCTTTCTTAGAGGTTCCATACCATGCCTTAGTGACACTGTAGCTTCAGGCCTGTGGTATGGCAGCACCTCTAGACATAGTTCATAGCAGAGCAAAGCCATTTATTTTACCACTAGTAATGTGAAGAGGGCATGAACTCCTAAGGCCCAATTTAAGGGAACAGCTACAAAAATCCAAAGACCACCAACACAACTAGCCTGCATCCTTTAAAAGACTGAGGCCACATATTCAGCACATAGGCCTTTGAGCAGTGTTTAAGGTCCGGAGAATAACAAGGACTTAGCACGCCAAAGCCTTAGTTTCCTTGTGAACAAAATGCATGTTTACTGCACAGCATTACAAAGATAACTTTGGCATGTGAGTGAAGTGTATTTCCTCCCTCTCTTGTGATCATGTCTTGTTTATTTCATGTGCCCCACCCTGTCCTCCCTTTCATATTTGGGCATAATCTAACAGTTTATAAAAATGAAACTTGAGCCCTGACATAAGTGCAATGATACTAGAACTCCATAAAATAAGGGGTATGAATCTAAAGTCACCATAAAATGGTGGGAGAGATCTGATTTTTAGCCTTTCAAAAAATATTTATAACCGATAGATGCACAAAACTGGGTACGACCTGAATTTATAAAGAATCCATATCATGTCATCAGAGCTCAGAATAAAAGAACTGAGAACAGAGAGTAAGCCCAGTGACCACTTCTAAAAGCTTTCCATCCAGAATGTAGACGTTATCTCATTTAGGTCTCTCAACAACTTGATGTGGTAGAGCTTAACATTTCTGTTCTATAATTGAGGTAACTAAGAATCTTGGAAATCTCTTTAAAAATCTTAAAATGACATAAATACAAATTACAGTGCAGAAGTTGCTATCCGGGAGTTAGATGTCAACTTAAGTATTCCTACATCTGTCAGTTCATCTCCTTATTACTTTCAAAATCAAATGTTTTGACTTCCATTTGTCTAACCTGATTCTCGAACATGCTCTTCAAGTTGGCTTTGAGATTTATGCTTTTGCCCTTCTCTAGCCTAAGACATTTGGGAGTGAGTGACCTATGCAGCACAGGCAGTAACAGACCTTGCTTGGAAGGACAGGGCAGGAATCTGTCCCGCACACAGGTGCTTAGAAACCTACCACACTGACAAGAAAGAGATCTCACAATCAGAACTAAAGAAAAGAATGAACTAGAAGTTCAATAGAATTAACAGTCTTCCAGGAAGTACACTGTGCTAGACTCCAGGAACACATAAGAGGAAACCAAGACCTCTACCTTCTGAGATTCTGGCAGAGCCCCAGAAGCTACTTATATTTAACTACAATAAAATGTAGTTAGTCTTTTCATTCATTTTATGTCCATTGAGAGGGAAACAAGTAGTTTTTCCCCGTGGTAGAGTATGATTTTGCTCCATTTCTTCCATAATGCCTTATAAAAGTTTGCAAGCATTTAAAGTAACATGGCACCAGTTAGGTGGGAAGTTTTGGCTTGTGAGTAAAAGCTGAAGGTGGGTTGGCTGCAAGTGGTTGCCCTTTTTAGCAGGTGCATCCCAGGAACATAATGCTAAAGAGCAAAGATGGGGGTTTCTCCTTGCTAGTCTCCACAGAGCTTCAGCCCGGAGTCACAGTACTGTACATTAGGTAGGAAGAGAGGTCAATTGGAGAGCTGAAGATGTGGCCCTTGGTGTAGGTCTAACTCCAGAGAGTTTGAAATGTTCCCCATGGACAGCTTAACTCAAGCCCATTCTAGAGATTATCTCTGCCAGTGAATAGAAACCATAGGTACCTTGTGACATGAAGGGATCAGAGGTGTCTTTCTATATCAAGAGCAAATGCCATGGGGCAGAGTTCCCAGGAGAATGTGACACTCATGGTGCTAGAAATGTCAATTTCAATGCCAGAAGGGAGAATCTGACTTTGTGTCCTAGCAGGGTCTTGGGACTTTTGATCATTTCTCTGTGCCTGCTGTGCTTGCACAATATGTAGAAGAGACAATGACTGTGTTATTGGCATCCTTTGTTGGGTGGTGATATCGACCCATTTGTTATTATTATTTTAATGTCAGGGATGTTTCTTTAATGTGAAGACCTGGTACCTGGACACAACACCATTGGAGATCTACTTTTTTCTGTTCCGTTTCTCTCCCTTAGCCTTATCTCCACTTTTGCTCCACGTTGAGCTCCACAGCTCTTTTCTCTCTTCACTCATGCTTATATCCTCTCTCCTTATCTCTTCATTTTTCAACATGTTTTCAGAAATCAACTCCACAATCTGCAACATACTATAAAATCTGATGACTGAAAGCCGAGTCTAACTCATAGTGTAAAGTCAGGGCACACATAGAGGGAAAGAAGCCAGAAACCAGGGAAATCTCCACAGATGGCAGAAAAGGGAGAACTTGAGCTTGTCAGATGACAGGGACACAGAGTCAAGTTTGACACCCAGTATCCCTTGCAGGAGGCAGTGAGGAGATGGGCTTCGTGGGGAGTGAGGAGGGACTGGATGGATAGGAAGAGTGGTGTTGGGTCAGAGGAGACCTGTGACCCGTCAAGAATGAGACTATCTTATGCACTTACTGGTGACTTTCCAAATGATAGATGCTTCGATGGTGATGATTAGATCACACACAACCAAGCATTAAGTCACACAGCAGGGGCCTGGCCCATGACAAGGGCTCAGGGGATGCTGGCCTCCACTCTCATCACCATGGCAGCTGCAGCTCTTCTTGTCATTGTGACAACCTCCCATGGCCCTGTCCTAACAATCTCGTAGTGTACGTCCCATAAAATACTAATGCCTCTAATTTTTTTGAAAGGAAAAGTCTTAGAAAAACTCTTAGAAATATTCTCTGCCTTTCATGAGGGATCTTGGAATCCGTGTCTACTGGGTAAAGGAACTCAGTGCCATCTTCTTCCAAGGATGTTCAAGGAGTCAGGTATTCCATCAGAAAGGTAGAGAGACTCACAGAATCCTGCCTCCTTTTGCAAATAAAAGTTAGAAAACATACTGATCAATGTGACCAAGCCTGCATTATGGATATAGAAGACATTTAAAACCAGGAACAAGGGAATAGTCCAGAGGACGATACTACAATGAAACATTGGCTTACATTCCCTTCAGAGCTGAAACACTGCCACGTTTTTATATTTGAGGCTTTCCATAAGCCCTATAGCTGTCCCTTGGTACTCCCTCAGATACCCTAATCCATGAATGCTTGGG